CCTGGCGCGGAGGTGTCTGCGATTGACCGGCGAAGAAGGGAAAGGGAAACTTGTCAATCCACGATTGATTTCTTTTCAGGACTAGCCAGAGACACAATGGATTTCAAGCTAAATTGCGTTCCCCAATCCACTTCGAACTGTATGAATGCGAATGAATAATCTTATTAGGGACAATAATACGGCACGGGAGTTTCATGCCCTCAAAGCGGGAACAAACGCTAGAACTGAATACATACATAGTTCTAAATCTTCTACTAAAATTTTCCTGTAGCGTTAGAGGCCTTTAATTCATATTGGCGAACGATGCTTCCCGAGCTACCGGGATACTGTAGGTTCAACATGTACATTTACAGAAATGTACTAAAATGAATTCACGAAGTGCGCAGCAAATAAGATGAGTAGCCTATAGGCCCATGTCCATAGTCCAGGGCAACGGAGGGGGTTACCCTGGGGCCGTGTTACCCCTCCTGCTGGGTAGGAACTTACAAGGGGGTTACCTATGGGCTACGGGGGGTTGAAGGTGGGTAACCGATGGGTAACCCATGGGTTACCCACCCAATCAGTGCCTTAGGGATGGGTGGCGGCTGGGCCACCTGCGGCCCACCTGCAAACTGGGGCGGTGGTGGCAGCACAGGCTGCAGAGGATCTGCAGTGTACAACTGTTGCCCACCAGTGGTGGTTAACAAGGTGTTCTGGGTCTCATAGTATCCAGCCTATAGCAGGAGATAAAGATGGTCATAAGGAGCAGTGACAAAAGCGACCATTCACTGTCAGGTAGCACAATGATGGGTGCAGCATTTCCCAGCCCTGTCTGGGCTGCTGCCAATAGTTCTGACAATGTTTTGCCGGATACCATCCCTGCACATCCTTGGCCACCTTGAGCTCCGAGGTCTCCCGACACTTCAGCCTATAGCTCCACATACGATTGCCCTGCACATACGTCCAAAAATGTGTTGTGCATATTTTCAACCCAGAAGGAGCATAAACAATAGCATATCCACCAGTCCCAATACGTTGCTTTTGTTGCTGCGGCTCCTGGAGCTGGACCAGCAGGTTACGCTGGCACTTTGGCACTTCCTTCTGTGCGAGGCAAGCCACATAGGCCGCAAGCCACTTCAGCATAGTTGCGCCTGTGATCGGTCATAGCCCGCAGATGCAGACGCCGCAAATGCTATCTGTTTACACCCTACAGGTGTGCAACCACGTGGTTCACGTATGTATTCACGTATATAGGATATCATAATAGAAATTTTGCGTGTTCCTTGCGACTTGTGACTTTAGCAGTATGCAAGAGTGCACTTCGCCTCGCACCCGCAATTTGTTATGCAAGCAGCCATAATGCAGGCTTGTGTTGCGGCAGAGTTGCGACTGTAATACTTTGAGTGTCCAGTGTAATACGACATCCCAAAATTTGCGCTGGCATGTTGTATGACACAAACTTTTTACTCGGTGTATTGCAAAAGCTCCGGCATATTTTCCTTGACAGTATTTCTGGCGAGAACATTTGCACATAGCAGAAGAGTAACAAGCGTATTTTCTGGATCGGACAAGCTGGCTCGGTGGTTCAGGAGTTCACGCAAGGTCACCATACCTGGGCTCCTGATCGTCACCACCTTGCCAAGCAGCGACGGCGGCTTGAGTGCCCTGCTCCAAAAAAAATCAAAACTCTTCACACTCCCCATTGCGCTTGGTACCTTGCATGTGGTGGATGATCTGCAGACTGTCTGATGTGTGGAACAGGATGGTATATCTTCACCCGTGGCAGCTACCCTGTGAAACCCTGCTTCCGGTATATCAGGACACTCTCATCCAGTCACCCTAGTCAACTTCTCAGTGGATCACTTAGGTTCCACACCCCACCACCGGCATCCAACGGAATCTGCTGGATCGACGGCGGCCCAACTCCATTCCTGGTCGACTCGCAAGTCAACTCTATCCCAGGTCTTCACCGTCCATCAACTAGGGGCATATTACCTTCCATCATCGGAAGGATTTTCGACCCTGATGGGTCTCGATCCCGAGATCTCCCGGGGGCAATTTCCGTTGTCTGTCCCGTCCTTTGTTGGGTTGGATGTGTAGCCCCCTCCGCATGATGGAAATGTTGCCCCGACACCCCGACAATCCTTGAGGGATCGTGCAGGCCCAAGGAGCGCTGGCACTGGGCCATGCCGCCGCCGCCGCTGCGAATGTTGATGGTGACGGTCTCTCGGACTCACCGGGTGATGGAAAGAGAGGGGCAGTCAACCTTCTGCCAGCAGCGCCCTAACCCTGACCCTGACCCTAACATTGTAACATGTCAGCAGGACCGCAGTCGGATCGGAAGTAAAAAAGAAGTGTACACGTGCACTCCCACTTGCGTCGTGCGTGTGCAGCAGTAATAGCAGTGTGTGGTGTGTCGTGTGTGGGTGTGTGTCGATGTGTGTGGGTGTGTGTGTGTCGATGTGTGTGTGTGTGTGTGTCTCTGTCTATGTTGCATTCGAGTGGCATTTTTCTCAGAAGGTATACCTTCGTGTAATAGCAGTGCATTTGTGACTGTACTAGGAGCATAGGGTGTGTGGAGATGTTAACTCCTGGTCATCCCGCCATGGGCTATAGCTGAGCATATTCTTTTTTCTTTTGGAAAGTGAGTTGCATGTCCTTATTTTTTTTCCTGGAGATTATTTATTCCGTTTCTTTTGGAATTCGAATAACATCGGACGAGCGTCTTGAAGCTACTATCCTTCATGGACACTTGTTATATTCGTACTACTGCAGGGTTAACTCGGGGAATGACTTGTATGTTCGTCCCAGGGGGTCCCCAGTGTTGGATGTAGTCGGAAGCCAGATTAATGTAATCGCTTTACGGCTCCAGAGTAATTGTAGTGATAGTGAAAAGGACGAACGCTTAATTTTCCAGATTTCTTGGTCAGCAACAGAAAATGGATTTGGCAGGATGGGAGGACTTCCCAGCTTCGCAGCGAGTGGTGCGTTGGCCGAACATTTCGTTTTACCGAAGTGTCTGGAAAGGATGCGGTTTAAGAGAGCTTTGGACTAGCGAGGGTCGCTTCCATCCCTGAATATAAAAGTGACGGGACAGCAGCTTATAGCTTACACAAGCTTACACGATATTGCACGCGAGTGTCTCGCTCACTCACTGGCGAAGATCGTATGAGCTGTCCACGAAACGTGATCTAGGATCTATATAAGCGTAGATTTTATTGTAGCATACCGCATATTTATGGGATATGCATATTTATGCATTCCGTATATTTATGGAATAACCCCATTAAACCAATAACTTCTTGATGAGTCGTGTCGTCAGTCGTCAGTCGTCGGTGTCTGTCGGCGGCCCTTCCGACGCGCGCGCACTAACTACTCTTGCCTGGGTCGGGCCGATCGACGCCTTTCATGCAGTTACAGGTCCCGCGCGAGCGCACCCACAGCACATTTTGATGAGCAAAATGTGATGAGCAAAATGTACGCTCATGCCCAGGTTGCATTCTCGTCCACGACGTTATCATCATCAACTTCAGAGTCATCCACAATAACTGCTTGTGGTTACATGTTTCATTCACCTCTTCGTTCTCTTACCTAGAATAGAGAACACGATAAAACATTTTCAAAAGCCACTGGAAGGTGACTTGGTGTGACACGACGCAACGTTTGTACTTTAACATAAGATTAGGCGGTTTGGCGGCTCCGGCGCGGTTTTCGTCGCGATAATAAGCTTGCGTGCACAGCTCAGCGACTTCCTCGCCAATCTTAGTCGCTAGTAACCGCTCCGTCGCTAAGTGGACGCGGCGAAGATGGGCTCCACTATTGAAGAAATCATGCGGAAACGGCAACGGGAAGCGCAGGAGGCTTACGAAGCCATGTGGGCTAACGGTTCCGGTTCACACCACCCAGGTGCGCAGAAGAGGTTCTTTCGACCTATATATGCACGTATGCATGCAGAGTTATGTCGTAAATATAGCCAACTGCAAAACAAAAGGCGCATGCAGCCACCGAGCTATGTGTTCTTTCAATTTCTCTGTAAGGTTATTACCCGCCATGAGCTCCTGCGCAAGGGCGTGCGTGGTCAGGCCATGTCTTGGCCGTTTTTTGGTCATGAAATAGCGTGTACTCACAACTTATCAAGGGCGCCATTGAGACCGTATTAGCCGTGCCGACATCCTCTGTAAAGCGCTCTGCTTGCGTAACCCTGTTGTACGTTTCTTCTTCCCAGCGTGTAAGCTTCGCCCGATTACTTTTACGCATCCTCGACAGCATTATTTTGCAAATGGTAGTTAATGACAGGTCTCAGCAAAAACTTGCCGGCGGTCATCTCGTCCTTGGCCGTACGTTCCTTTCTTCGTCCTTGCCCTTACTTACGTTCCTTTCTTTTTTCGTCGCACGTACTGCTGTCGTACGAACCACTTGTACTGCAGACTACGACCCCGAGGTGCCCCCCGGACCGGGCGTTGTCAAAGCCAGCCGTCCAACAGAAGAGCTCTACAACGCAATTGTGAAAAATGACGTACACCTCGTTTACGACAAAATTGAGGAGGGAGCTGATGTCAACTTTGTGTTTGGGTACGTTCCGAGTATCCATGAGCCATCACATCATACACCGCACACCGCACACCGTACATCCTACACCGTACATTGTACGTCATGCGTTTTGTTGTCGTGCATGTACAGGCCCGCCTATTCATGTCCTGAGGGATACACGCCGTTGATGGTCGCGGCGCACCGAGGCCGACTGGAATGCGCTCGGGCATTACTGCGCGCTGGAGCCGACCCCAACTACATTAACAACGGAGGTACGGACGCAACTCGAAGTAGCAGGCGTGGCAGGGAGCTGGCTGCAGCTGGAAATACGCGTTCCTGTACGTGTCTTGCACACATACACACATACACAGCACCTGTTTGCATTTACGTAAATCTTGTATGTATGTATTCCCTTCCCCTCCTATTCCCCTCCCCCCACTTTTTTTCCCACCCTTATAGCCACTGCCAATCTAACTCAATTATAAGCTCAGCTCGCCACCAACACCACAGTACATAACCTATCTAACCGTTATCTAACCGTTATCAGCACTCACTCGCAGGCGACAGTGTGTTATTCTGGGCTATCGATGGCGGTCCCGACATGATTCGCCTGCTGCTGGACTACGGAGCTGACCCCGACGTCGTCACACCCAGAGGTTGGACCGCCCTCAGCTACGCAGTCGCCAAGGGCAAGTACGGCGCCGTGGAGGACAAGGGTATTTACCCTGAGGTACGGTTGCCGTACAGAATCCCCGTATGCATAACGTACGGGAGTGAGAGGGACGGGGATGGGCCTCGGGTAAGGGCTGGGGTAATTGGGGACGTTGAGTAATTTTGGGACGTTGAGTAATTGTGGTACAATTAGAGTCGCTAATTAATTGGTTGCTGTTATTGCGGAGGGGAGGACGGCAGGACGTCCGACCCGCCAGCTGTGTGGTTGTCGGTTGATAATACAGTTGTTGGTTGTACCTCAAGCTAGCTGGGCTGCATAGATGAGATCAGGAGGGCAGAGAACGATTTGCTTCACCGCAATGTTCTTGTTTGGTCCACAAGCAAGTATTTGCTGTGATAAACAAGTATCTGAGTGTGTCAGGAGCTAAACACGGTGGATGGATACGGCCATGTGTCGTACTCACGTCCCCCGTAGTAACGACCCGGAGGGGGCGAAAATGTCATCTGCCTGCTCGTCTGCTTTTCGTAATCCCGTTATCCAACCGACAGCCTCCTGCTCGTTACAGGATGTTCTGCTATACTACGGCGCCAAGGTGTACGGCGAAGGGCCGCCCGCTCTGGGCACCCGCAGCCCGCGCAATAGCTTCAATCCGGAGGACCCGCGCTTCTGCCGCGAGCGGGGCAGCTATCAGAGCCCCTTCCCGGCGCCTTGAGAATCGCTTAGGGAGACCTTTCTTTCTTTTACGTCGCGTTCTGGTTCGGAGTCGTATGTCCATGCTAAGCTAAGAGCTAAGTCTGAAGAGGACAAATAGGGAACCTATTAGCATGTCTGGAGGGAGGGAACAATGTACGGACGATGGTTATGTACGGCCCGGGCGTTGGATCGGCACGATTGGGATATGATCAACGTGGCGTAGAAGGAGAGTATGCGCTTAGGGCCGACGTATTCTGTAGTGTTTACCGTGAAGTTGGAGAGCCAATAGTGTTGGCAACATGGATACATCAGGGCTGCACGGACAGAACACGAAATGCGGTTAGCAGCAGAGTACTGTAACAAGTCTTAGAGTCCCCAGTTTACATCAAGAATGTGGACGCGGCTAATGCCGCCTAGTTTGCGGCGCTGTGGGGCTCCTCAGCGTCCGTCGCATTTCGGTGTATCAAGCGAGCGCTCTGTAAGGGCACCTGTAACAGTGAAAAGCTCTTCGACTTCAATAAAGACATGTGAGATGAGCTCTCTGGGCTCCACGCGCAACCGGAGCCCTAGCCGTTGGCCTTGACAAGTTCATGCCCTGCGCAGACTACGACGTGCTGGGCGTTGATTCATCATCTTCTGTGGATGACATAAAATCGGCTTTTCGGCGTCGCGCAAAGCTCGTGCACCCCGACGTGTCAAAGTCGGTGAGGCCCCTTTTCGCAGTGTTTCACGGGACTTGTAAACTCGGGGCCCTTACTTTTTACAATATGTGGACCACCGCGAACATGTCATACTTACGTTGCCAGCTGTCCAGCGAGTACTTACAGAGGGGGCCCCGGCCAGCATCCCGACATCACATCTCTCGCCCTCGCATTGGTTTTTTGCCTGATCCCTGGAGGGCAATCCGAAGACTCAGCTGATTCCTCTATAGGCCTGAGGGCCTGGTGGAAGCTCTACAGTGGTCATTTTTGTTGTCCTTGTTCATCCGATCGCCCTCTCTGTGTGTGCGTCGTCGTCCGCCCCGGTTGACAGGCCGACAGCGAAGAAGAGTTCAAGCAACTCAAAGAGGTTTGGAGGGGACAGCGGGGGTCAGGGAGGGAGCGGGAGCAGCTAGCTGAGAAACCGGGAGTGAACAGATAGATATTTACCTTGTGCGTGTTTATTTAGGCTAACATGACCATGCGGGTAATGAGGGGCAACAAGCAGAAAGTGAGGATGTGTGATATATGTTTGGTGTGTACGGCACCACGTGCAAACCGACCCCCAACTTAATGGCGGCATTTGCCATCTGCGCAGCGCTCTACTTACCTGCTGTGTGGCATGTACGTCAATGCCGTACAGGCCTACGACGTGTTGAGCGACGCGGAACAGCGTGCCGAGTACGATGAGGCGCTTCAACAGGTAGGTTTCCCGTATCGTGCTGTAGTGTACCGTGTTGCCGTGCGCTGTTGCCGCATGATGTAAATGCGTTCATGTGTTTGTGTGCCCGTGCCCGTGCCTCCTCCCCCATGCACTCCGGTGCTCTTAAAAGCCCCCGCAAACTCGCATCCCTCCACCTCGCCTCTGTCCGCCTTTGCGCTTTTAAAACTGTTTGCGACGCTGCCTCCGCCCCATTACGCCTCATGTCAAGCCTGAGCTCTTCCTAAAACCTTAAAACCTTCTAAACAAAACCCTAAAACCGCGTCTGATTCCACTGGTTTCCATTCTCTCCACCTCTACCGCACCTTCACCCGGGGGACCCTCCCCATTTCCCCCCCGCCGCCATTTCCTCACCCCTCTCCCCATCGGTTGGACCTCCGCCGGTCTCTCGCCTTTCGCCCTGATGTCCGTATAAGGCCCAGCGGCGGCGCTCCGGCCGTACCGCCGGCAGCAGCGGCAGCAGCAGCAGGGTGGTGATCATCCAAGACGACCCGTGGGGGTTCGGGGGGGCCACGGTGGAGGTGGTCATGGAGGGTTTTGATAGCGACGACGACGACGACGATGATGATGACGATGGATTCCTTAATGAGTTGGATTACTTGACATGGGCCGCGACACCTGGCAACCTGAAATCCAGGTAAATAAATGAGGAAGTTTAATAGTGGTTTTTTGCGATAATTTGCAGCTAGCATCGTCACCAGCAGCAGTAGCGACAAGCGCCAGCAGAAACAGCTGTAGATGTAGCAGCTGCAGCAATCGTAGAACGCGGTGTGGTGCAGACCTCGCGCGCATGCGGATTCATGCACAGCGTTGAGGAGTGAAAAGTCGCCCGCGGCTTTATTTGCTCTATGTATTAAATTTTTATTTTTGTTCTCGAATTCTTCATTGCGGTGCGGTTCCGGAGCTGTTCACGTTTTTATCCTTTTTCTCTAAAGTAACACTTTTTCCCATAAAAGTAACACTGTGCACGTTCTGTTGCATTTGATGGGCAATGCGGACCCCGCTTGTGCGTTCAATTTCGGTGGTTGACTCGGTTAACCGGTCAACTGTTCGCGGTTCCCTGACCTCCCCTTCCCCCGCACTGAAACCCGTAAAACCCTCTCACCATCCACGTCCCTGCAGCTTCCAATCTAGCTGGCAGGCTAATGCACGGAAACAAAAACGCCGAGTACGACAGCAGCAGCAACAGCAACAACGAGCGGCCATGCAGGCCCAGCTTTCCATGGAAGATAAGGTGGGTTGGTAGTTGGTAGGTGCGGGGGAATGAAGATTGCCGAATGGACCGTGTGGGTAACCCGGGTTGGGATGCGGCGTGTGTTGGTCGTAATCCGACGAAGTAACCAAACACATTTGCTAGGGAGGTGTTTGGTGCGCGCGCGCGTGTGTGTGTATGTGTGCGTGTGCTAAGGGATGAGCCCAACCGATATCTTTCTTAACTTGTACACATCACATCATCACAGCTACGCCCCACCCCGTACTGCCATACACACAAACCCCCATCATCCCACCCATCCTTGGCGGCAGTGCCCCTTCCCGTAGCTCCCGCAATGTCTGCTGTTGGGCGGTTTCAGACGTTTCGCCCCCCCTTCCATTTCCCCTCCTCCCCCTCCTGTGATCATCATCACTGATGACTGCGTTGACCTGGTTGAATGAGGCGGAGCTCACTGTCGCCACTTAACTCCCTGCCGCTGGTTCCCAATCCTCTGTCAGACAGAATCTGAAGTCGGCTTTCCCTTTCCCTGACGATGTTTTCCCCGGATGGCTCCCCCGATGATGATGATGATGGTGGCGGTGATGATGATGATGATGATGATGATGATGGTGGTGGTGATGATGATGATGATGATGATGATGATGATGATGATGATGATGATGATGACTCCCCCGCCGCAGGTTGTGTTGATGCAGGAGATGCCCCCTCAAGCCCGTGCCGCAGCTCAGCAGGTGTTCGGAAGCCGACTACAGGGGCTCAACAACCTGGAGGTACGGCAGGGGCCGTACACGTGAACCGCGATTTTTCATATGATAATTATGCGCACGACACAAAAGCAACCTTGTTCCAGACACAAACAGAGCATATATTGTAGCCCCCAAATGTAGGGTCCGGAGCCCCGCCAAGCCCCGCAAAACGATTTGGTTTGCTGCTTTGTTTCAGATCCATCCTGCATGAGTTCCTTCAGGGTTGCGACTTTTTCGGGGAGGTTTTCGGTTATCGTTAATAGCATCACTCATTCTGTCCGCACGATGGCGGCATCCCCCAAGTACTGCCGTACGCCTTGTATTGCAATTGTGCAAGTGCTGAAATGAAATCTTGAGGTAGAAATAATACTCGTTAAAGACTGTACGTTATATAATATCTCACAATATCCTAGTATTTATTCACATTTTCATTTTGTTCATGTGAGCATATTTTATTATGTTGTGCAGAGGACTATCACTCTAACCGCTTCACCGCACGCATGCGCATATACGCCCCCCGAATAGTCTGGTACACTCTTGCCCTGGCAGCAGCTTCACTCGTTCATGGTTCGTCTTTCCCCCCCAATAGGAATTGGCGGAGGTGATGGAAGCCGTGATGGAGATGAACGCCATGGGTATCGAGTTTGAGTATATCAACGAGGGAGGAGGGGGACGATCTTCGACCCGTGGGTCACGCAGGCAGGGCGGTCGTAGCAATAGCCGCGGCAGCGGGAGTGGTGCCTCTGCTGGAAGGGATACGAATGCACGACGAGGGGGTAGCCGAGGCGGCACCAGTACGGGTTCCGGCAAGCGCCGGATGTGACCCACGGGTCGGTGTCACGTACGAGTCCCAACTTATCTCACAGTTCAACATGTCCAGGTGTCCGTGAGGCCAGGTTTTGCCCTCGGGGTGGTTCGTTGGTTTCACCCAACGGATGCGACCCATGGGTCGGGGTAACACAGGGACTTAAAACCTAACATTCAAACTATAGACCACAGTCCCTGGGTTGAACCACAGCTTGAACGTTGGAAAGGGGCTTTGGGCCGGAGGGTAGGATTCGGGCTGGAATTAGGGAAGAGCTCTGTCGCAGAATTAGCCTGGATTTTATTCCTGACAAAAGAATTAGTCTGCCGAGGTCTGGAATTGTTCTGGCGGACCCGCCGAAGGTATTCGAATTGCGCTGTGGAGCCTCGGAATTGGGCTGTGCTGGGCCTGAATTGGCCTGTCCGGGTGTCGAATTGGCATGTCCGGGTGCCGACAGTCAGAATTAGCCTGACAGGGATACGAATTAGCCTGGCGGTACATTCCGACAGTCAGAATTAGGCTGACAAGGTGTCGAATTGGCCTGGCAGGGACATTCGGACAGTCAGAATTAGCGTGTTCAGGGTGTCGAATTAGGGAAGCACGGGAATTGTGCGACCGGGGCAGCCAAAAGAATTGCTCTGCCCGACAGTGTGTCCTACCTTCTATTTGGGCCGTTTACTGATGGGCCGCTGCTGCTGCTGCCATCACCACGGTGAAAATTTCGACCAATTGAATTTGAGGATGAATGCTTATAATGCCCCAAGCAGAAGTATCTGGACTGCTGTATTGCTGTGTACTTTCAGCTCGACTAGCGGTCGTGTCAAGCCAAGCACGGACAGTTCTAAGTTCCGGAGTGGCTGGCGAGAACCACAGCCGAGTCGGAAATTATGGATGAACGATTTCTTGCGATTCTAAAAGGGCATATGTCGTACAACTATGTACGTATAATGCACTGCCGTATACTATTTGAGTCATACAGCGTTGAACGGCGGCACATTCGTTTTGGGGGGTTGAGGATGATGGAGCGAGTCGGAAGGCGAGCTTGCCGAGCGTGCGGAGGGGTTGCGTTCGGTGCTGACCTGTACTTCTGTAGATGGGAGGGACATAGATTCTTTTATAAAATTTAGAGTAGCGAGGGGGTGAGTAGAAAAGCGGAGAGGATGCTTACGGGAGCCCTACGATTATATTTATATCCATTATGAATATCGCGGCATCGCGAGGTTAAGAGATGTCCTTAAGAGAAGAAGACTGTACGGAATACCTGTAAACATGTCAGTGCAGTCGAGCGATGTCTTCAGCGGCAGCTTCGGGCGTGTTCAGGTTTGAATATGGGGGTCTGGATTCACGGCAGTCGTACAAAATCACCCCGAGATCGCGTACTACAGCACCGCCAACTCCCCACTCCCCCCAACGAGTAGTTGTCAACGGTGGCCAACCGCAATGGAAGAAATGGAAGCTGTCACACGCATTGTATGCAACTGTATACAAGTGCAAATTGAAAACCGCAACAGTGACGGAATCGCATGTGCTATCATGGGCACTAGAGCGCTAGGGGTCCCTAACGTTCTTGACGAGGGCCTTCACGACGAGCTTTCCCTTGGACACGAACATGTGCTCCGGTAGCAGAGTCAGGCCCGCGAACTGGCGACCCCCTACTGGGAGCGCTTCCACTCGTACAGCCACCTGCGTAGGGGGCGGGAGGACGGGGGCGGACTGCGTGTGTGTGTAGGTGGAAAGGGGGGAAAGACGCGGGAAGGGAGGGGAGGAGGGAGGGATGGAGGGGAATGAGCCGGGCAGCACGGCAGCGGGAAAAATCTCGATGCCGAGTGGCCCACAGACGAGCGACGATAGCAGCAAGTGAAGCGGAGGTCGGTGTCATAGAGAACGATGATGTACAGGGGAGGGAGTTGTGGTGCGGTGTAACGGAGGGTGCCCCCACTCACTCCCCCGGGGGCACTGCGAGCAAACCCTAAGAGCCAGGGGCAATCAGGAATTGATCGGGGGTCTTGTAGGATCTGTATTTATTCAGCGGCACCTGCGGTTTCTTGAGGTTAACTCTCGCCACGTCCCCTGTGAACGCATCCACCATGCCACGTGCCGCCAGCGATATGATCTGGTTGCGATCCAACAGCACATCAACAACTTCCTGGCCCTGTTGCTGCGGTGGCGGCGGTAGCGGCGGTAGCGCGTGCTCTTGCTCCTGGCCGCCCCGGTGCGCAGCGCCGTTGCCGGCGTAGGTAGAGTTGCCGCCGTCAGCTCCGGCGGCGGCGGATTGCGGCAAGGATTCCGTGAAACGGGAGTGGTACGAGATCGCGTAGGAAAAAGGTTCCACGGGGGCAGCGTCGCCGCCGCCGCCGCCGTTGCCGTCGTTGCTGTCGGTGCACCTGGCAGTTGACTTGTAGCGGCGGCGCTTGAAGGCAGCGGCCGCCTCCGCCACCGCGGCTGCGATACCCGACGGCGTGAGAAGGCAGGTGGCGTCCAGGGGAACGATCCGTTGGCAGTGCCTGAACAGGCAATACGAAATAAGAACAGCAACACAAGTCCTAAATGCATAATCCTAAGCTAAGCGATACCAGAAGGGTTGCTGTGGTGAAGTAAGATTACTTTACTTTTTCGTTCTTTCCTTTTACCCATCGTGCTCTTTGATTGGATAACGTTACCGCGTATGATTGAGCGGGAGTTTGCAGCGGCTCCGAGAGCTTTACTCATGTCACTTACTTGGGCGGCTGCAAGGTTCCAGATTCCAGATCTGCCAACATGGACTCCACAACTCGCACCGGGTCAACTTCCGCGGCCGCCGCAGCCGACAGCCGAATCAGCACCACACCACGGCAGCTCACCTGGAGGTTTTGTTCAAGATTCAAGTTTAAAATATACACGCCTGAACGAGGGAACATTAATTTGGAAGCCTTGACTTTTGTAAATAAAATAAGAAAGAAAAAACGTTTTTTCCGGGATTCTGGAAGGGAAACAAGGCACCGAAGTTGCTAGTTCCGCACAAGTGCGTAGGCGTTTGTAAACGCCGGAGGCCATAAACGATTAATTATCAAACGAAATGCAAGGAAACATGGAGCAGAGAATATATCGCCTATCGATAATTCTGCTTACAAGGCACTCATTTTTTAGGACAACCTAACTAGTACAGATACTGTTAGGATTCACTCTTCCTAAGATCCACTGCTAGAATCCACTATTTTAAGAATCCGCTCTTCCTAGGATCCACTGTTTTCAAGATCCACTGCTTTCAAAGACCTCTTTTCAGGATGCCATAGTTTCAACAACTGCTGTTAGGATCCACGGCGCAGTTCAGTAGACAGGCGATCCCAGGCCATTAGGAACTCATTGGCAACGCTATGGCGTGTACGGCCTGTCCCAATCCTCTGCCGTTGCTACTGCCACTACAGCTATTCCTGAAGTCCCCAGGACGTTCAAATTCCTATTACCTCATAAATGAATAAAGAACACAGAATGTTTCAGATTCACCTTGGCAAGCCCCAAAGCAGGCAGGCCCCCGCCACCACCTCCACCTCCATGCGCGCCTCCGCCTCCACCGACAGATAAGCCACCTCCACCTGCGCCACCAGCACCAGCACGTGTACGATAAAAAGGAGTACGAAACGCTAGGCTTTGAAAATCGCCTTTGCGCCACGCACGCGCGTCAGGGGGGCCGTCCCAAGCCGGCGCGAGGTGATACTTAAAGAATGACCTCGCCGGCTTGGCAGCTCCTGCACAGCTGTTTTCAGTTGTGATTCAAACTCACCGTCACCGTCATCGGCGGCATCCTCATCTTCTTCGCTGCCATCATCAGCGTAGACGGTAGTGCCGCCGCCACTGCCCTGGCCTCCTCCAGCCACCGCCTCCAGCGCCTGCAGCTCATCACGTTCCGAGCTGCCACACCCGCGAGCCGGCCGCACCACATCCAACGCCTGATTCGGCTGGCTCCCTCCTTGCCCCACGCCCTGCTGCTTTAGGCTGCCTGTTTCTGCCTGGGGCTTCGCTCCATCTCCTTCCATATCCCCCACCAGCGACGGCGCTGCCGCCGCCGCTCCTCCATGGCATTTGACAGGATCGGTCCCCTCCACCGACTCCCCTGTCACGGCCGTCGTCATCGGCATTACCCTCGACGGCAGCTCCCCCCCTGGCGGGCCCAGAGCCCCTGGCGGATGTTCGTCTACAGCAGTAGATAATGTAGCTGCCGGGGGAAAGAGGTGTTCTGGCAGGTAACGGCGCAGAAGTTGGGATGCCTCTCGGGTTGCACTTTTCTCCCTGATAGGAAAGGGAGCAGCAGCACAATATGCGGGAAAGCCCCGGTGATGGTGGGTGCAATGGAGAGATGCTGGTGTGAGATTTAACTCGCCAGCGCCGCGCGAGTGGGTGGAAAAGGTGGGGGGTTGGTTGGGTGGGTGGTTGGGTGCATGGGCGGGTGAAGAGTGACTTACTGGCGGAAGTTGCAGGTGACGAGGAAGCCCTTTGACCCCGCCTCGAGCTCCTGTACGACCGAGTAGTGGAAGCGGTCCATGGGGACATAGGTATCAATCTCTCCTGGCAGCGGCGCGTGCAGTTTGTGAAAGGAGTTGAGAGGGTGTGGAAGGCCGTGGAAGGAGCACGTAATTGCCAGTCCGTACAGGGTGTTAGGGAAAGGCGTAAGATTTGAAAATACGAGCATAACATATGGTGAAGGTGATATCAAAATTTTGGAGTCGTTGATGAAGCACTCGTTACGGACGAAGGCGAGAGATTTTCCTTCGCCAAAGCAGCACGCCGTACCCTTTGGGCCGCGAGGACGTTTTCGCGGTCTTGAGTCGTCAAGCACTCGCCTCATCTCCATTTCCGCCGCCCTACGAAGCCGTTCCAGCGCATCGGCGTTTGAAACCCCATCACTGCTGAGGTCGCTCACACCTATCATGCTTTCGATCATTTATATGTACGTCTGCAGGCATTAACGACGGTTCTCCAAATTCGCATAGTATGAAAGGTTGTACCACCTGCCGCAATGCGGATGTACGGCGTCAACTTACGGCCGCAATCTAGGATCAGGCGTAATTGCAGTTATATGCTTCCTGTGCTATGTAGAACATTCAATGTCGGATACAAATACCACTTGCGTTGTGTCTGCCTTGATACGAAGACACAGAAAGGTTACCCGTAAATGCCGAATGGAAAGTCCTTCCCAAAGTGCAGGCTGTACACGACCGCAATACATTCTGTCAAGTTTTTTTCGTGCTGGGACTACAAATTATTTCCATGCAAAGTCATCGATACCTGTTTGGCCCACGAACTTGATGCGGAGTATATGTATCTGGTTTGGCAGCAGTCCCATTGTTTACGTTCTTGCCAGTTGGCTCGCAGTCGCTACTCAAGCAGGTTTTCACCGTTTCCATCTGAAAGGTTGCTTCGATACTGATAAACCACCGCTGTCAGATGGTTCATCGCCCATGCTATTGTTTCCATGCAATGGCTCAGTTTTTGAGCGAGCTATGCATTTGCTCAGAAGTTTGGTACAGGTGAGCACCGCGCCTTTTTGGAGTTTTTTATATGCTGCACCCAGCTCGCCACATACACCTCGTCTAGTCTGCCCGCATGCTGACATGTTGTAGGGAAATCTCCGAATAAAGTGCGACCTAACAGTAGTGCCGCGCAAACCTGCTTGCAGGTCTATTGGGGTCTACTCAGGGAATCACCCTGGCCCATTCGATGGCTTCAATATCATCTTATCGCTATTATCGTGAGAATTTTTGCAGTGGCCTTGCTGCCTCCGCCAGTAAATCAGTTGGCTTCGCCGTGGCTGGTCATCGCATCTCGCGCTATAGCGCCTGCTTGCCTGGCCGTCACATCTTGGACGCCTGCTTTTGAGGAAGTTCTCCAATCATCGCTCCAAAAGGACACCCGCAACGCTACCAGCGGCGAGCTCGCGCGCAACGCGACTCACCCCTGCCTATCTGGTGACGAATTTGCCGAGTTCAGCTTGCGCTGGTACCCCTTGATGGACGTCGCCTTCAACTACATTCATCCGGTATGTCGGACATCGTGCTTCAGTCGTACTTCAGTTCCCCGTCCTTTCGGCCAATACTCTGATAAACCTTACCTCTAAAACTCACCCACCTTAACCATCCGTTGCCACGAGGGGCCATATCAATAGCTGGTTAAGGAAAGCCAGGACTGTTTGTGAAAAGTGTGTGTACGGTATTCTCTCTTGTCGACACCGGAAGACGGGAGGGAAAGACGGTGTCAACGGAGGAATTCCAACCTGCGCGTTTTACAAAACTCATGGGGAGAGAGAGAGAGAGAGAGAGAGAGAGAGAGAGAGAGAGAGAGAGAGAGAGAGAAGGGGAGATTTAAAGGGAGGAAGGGAAATAAAGGGGGTTAAGGAGGGGATAGGGGGCGTATAACGGGTCTGTAATAGACGAATTAGGGTGAATAGGGGAGGGGGGATAAGGGGGGGAAGGGAGGCTTAAAAGGGGAAATGCGGCAGGCCGTTCGTATCTCCCCTTCACGCCTGACTGTCGCGCCCTTCTGCCCGCCCACCTAATGATCGCTTTGCCTATATCTGCATTTCTGTGGCTGTGCGCGACTCAGTACCTTTTTCCAAGTTCAACTCCCCGCGTTTTGTCTTTTTTGGATTTTTCCGTTTCCACTCCTTTGGGTTGTTCGCAATGCAGACCTCCATTCAGGCGGAGGCGGTGTACGGCGTCTTTAGCGCCGGTTGCGTCCTCCTCACCGGCATATCAGCCATCCGTGGGCTGCAGCTTCCCCGGGGTTTCCTATTTTGGCAACAACTCTGCAAGTGCGTGCTGAGCACCACGACCCTGCTGGCCATTGAGCGATGGCGGCTGCTCCGCTGCCAAAACAGTCGCGGCGAGCCTAGTGTCGTTGCTGCTGGTGTTGGTGATGGTGGGGGCAACTGCAGCTGCAGTGATGGCGGCCCCTTCGGAAATGTCAGCCATGCCATTCCCGATTCAGGCAAGGACGTTGCTGCTACTGCTACTGGTGTTGCTACGGCTACAGCTGCTGCCGTACCGGGGCCGATGGCGGTGGCGACGGTCCTGTTAGTAGGCGAAGAGGATGACGTCACCGCCGGCGCCGGTAGGGAAAGCGATTCTGTGCGAGCAGGGCCATGTCGCGCTGGCGGCGGGGGGCCAAGCTGGCCGTCGAGATCGACTGCCGTACCGGGGTCACGTCGTCATAGCGACGACGGCAGTAGCTACGGCAATGGCAGCGGCGGCAGTTTCGAGTGCCTCATGTCGCAAGGTTATGTCTGCAACCGGACGCTTCACTCACTGCCGCTACCTTTACCGTTGTCGGGCGAGACGCTTGAAAATGTTGAAAGCCGAGAAGTGGAAAGGAGCGTTAACGACACGTTTGGGGGTGGCGAACGGACACCAATCTTGGAGCGTCCTGACGCCGCCGCTACTGCTGTCGCGGCAGTGGATCCCGACAGTGGTTGCGGTGGCAGTAGCACCGACGGCCCTAGGAGCAGTGGGGGTGACGGCGGCAACGGCGACAATGGCGTCGTGTGCGGTGAGAGCGCTGATGGTGAAAATGGGATCATTACACACTCAGGGCAAAAGCCGCCTCTGCAGCCGCCTTGGGGACAGCAGCAGGAGCAGGAACAGCAGCAGCAGGAACAGCAGCAGGTGCAGCAGCAGGTGCCCATGCATGAGCAGCAGCAGCAGCAGGAGCAGGAGCATCAAAACCCAGCAGCAGGGGGCCGTCTGGGAGGAGGAGTTGGGGGGTTTAGGGGGGTGCGACTAATCACCGCAGAGACTGTTCCTTTGTCAGCGACCGCGACCGATGAGAGCCGCCGCGGCAGCGGGGCCCGGGGAGCAGCCGACCCGTGGGTCACCGGCCTACCCACCGACCCGTGGGCCATCCTCAGTCGCCGGCTGACACCCCATGTGCGTCGGCGCGTCCATCTCCGGCTCCAATCAGCACATCAGCTGGGTATGGGGCAGCTGCCACCTTTGGCAATGGCAACGGTAACGGCGAATCAGTCTGCAACGAATGTACAGCGGCGGTCGCTGTCGCCGCCATCGCCGCCGCAAGCACGAACGGCAGCCGTGCCGCCGCCGCCGGCGCCAGAGACGCAGCAGCAAGGAGCGGTCCACCTCCATGCTCGTCAACTGCCATCGTACATTCCCTTTCATATACAGCAGCTCTCTCGGTTAGCCGCGGTTGGGCGCGATGCGTCGTCTTTGCCACACCATGTGCCGTACATTCGCCGTACGGCATTGTACAGCACACGAGTCAAGCTTGACGGGAGCGAGCCGGAACAGGTGGCTCCTGGGTACCAAGAGAGGATCGCTCGCGTGGTGGCTGATGCAGGACTTCAGCTGGAGGCAGTGAGCCTGCGTCGGGGTTGTATTGAGCTGGTGAGTGGTGTCTGGTGGAGGGTTGTATTGAGCTGGTGAGTGGTGTCTGGTGGAGGGTTGTATTGAGCTGGTGAGTGGTGTCTGGTGGAGGGTTGTATTGAGCTGGTGAGTGGTGTCTGGTGGAGGGTTGTATTGAGCTGGCATATGGGCACATGGCACACAGGACATCATCGCGTGTGCCACCTCGCAACCTCGCAGTACGTGGAATGGAAGTGACGATCATGTGCTGTCGCATCAGCGCTCACACGTCTGACGTAAGAGCGTGACCGGGTAGTCCGTGAAGTGGCCTAAAACCCTTAAAACCCGAATTTACCCTCCCCCCCTGCCCTGACTACAGCTCATTGAGACACGAGCCGTCAATGATGCGCCGGCTGGACCAGGTCAAACGTCGCACGCCGCCGCCGCCGCCGCCGTAGGACCGCCGTCTGCAATGGATCAGGCGGCTCAGACGTCAACCGCCCCCGCTGACGCGGCGGCGGCGGCGGCGGCGGTGGCTGGTTCCGCGACCATAGGCAGCGGCGGCGACGGCCACTCTTGCGGGGGTTTCTGGGGCGGCGGCAGCAGTAGCGTCAGCCTTAGGGAGAAGAGCAGGGAGAGGTCAGGTAGTACGACACCTACCATGTATGGCAGCCGTACTTCGTCACAGGAGCACAGGGAATCAGTGCTCGATATTGGCGCGCTCATTCGGGCGTTACAACTGCCCGTCTCCTCAGCTTCCTTGGAGTCTGATCTGGCACAGGCCACCGGCGGCGAAGGCGAATGTGTCTTGTACGGCGCGTACGGTGGCGGCGGTCCGCTTACGTCTGGGCGTCCGTACGGTGCCATGCGGGACGCAGATTATGAATTTGAGGGCGGCGGTGGCGCTTCCGAGTGCGACGTTGAGCCGCCTGGGTCGCAGCAACACAAGCCGACGGCAACGGCGGCGGCAGGAATGACGGCGGTAACCAGCAGCGGCAGCGGCGGCAGCATCCGTACGGCGCCCTCGGGCGCGCGGCCTCGACAGCCCCTCATGCCGTTTGTGTTGGACGTATACCCCCGTGTGCATCTTGTAGGCGCTGTGCAGGGATTCCATCGTTGCGACATTACACAGCAGGCGCAGCCCGCAGGGCAGGGCGCTGGCTGTGCTACCGCCGCCGCAGCAGCGGCGACGAATGTGTTAACCCTCGTTTCTTGGCTGTCGCCCGCCTGGGCGGCGGCGGCGGCGGCCCTCCCCGACCGACAGGCTGCCGTACCGGTGCCAGCCGCTGCGGCGCCGGGTGACCCATGGGTCGATTTAAGCTGCTTTCCTGGACCGCTCCAGGCGGGCACTTCCGCCGCCGTAACGCATGAGAGTGCCATGCGACTGGGAGCTGACGTGGCGAAGACAGCTGGAGCAGCAGCAGCAGCAGGAGCGCCGGCAGTAGCAGCAGCAGAACCTGTCTTCGAAGGCGGAGGCCGACCTCTCTTCCGTCCAGCGGTGACGGCGACGTCTGCAGCTATTCATGTAGATCCCCAGCCTCGCGCGCAGCTTGTATTTCGCCACCACGGTGCGGTCGTGGCGGTGGCACCGTTAACGGCACCTGCCGGTGACGACGGCGACGGCACCGGCGGTTTTAGTGCTACATCTCCTCACGCGACGGGGGTAGCCGCAGGTTGGTGTCAGTCAGGCGGGCGGGGGACAGCGGCCTCGACGGCGGCGGCGACGGCAGCAGCAACGAGTCGCGGGGAGATGTCTGCAGATGTTGGGGAGGTGGCGGTGGTGGAGAAGGAACGCGTGGCATATCCGCCGGGGGAGTCTAAGCAGCAACAGCAGCAACAGCAACAGCAGCAACAGCAACAGCAGCAGGGCCAGGAGGATGAGGAGGAGGAGGAGGGAGACGTGAAGGAGAAACTCGGTGATGAGGTTCTCTACAGCTTGGATCTCGCTCCCCTCCTCCCGCTGCTGCGGCCGGGAGTGTTGACGGTGGAAGCGGTCATCGTTGATTCTGTTGCGGAGCCTGGCGTCACCGCCGCGGCCACCGACGCCGCTGCGGAGGCGGTGGGTTCGCCCACTGCCGTTAGCAGCAGCAACCGCAGTAGCAGGTCCGGCGGGGCCGCCAAGGTGCCCACGCTCTTGGTTGATGACCCACGGGTCGCGGCGGAGCTCAAGCTGGCTCTGGACAGTTGGAACGGCTCTGTGGACGAGCTGTACGATATGTTGTACGACATGGGCTCGCTGCTGAGAATGCAGGACGACCTGGCATCGTGTGCTGCGGCTATCATGCAAAGCGGTGGCAATGACAATGGCAATCGCATCAATGACATGCTTCGAATGAGGTCCCTATCTGCTCGTACATGGGGCTTGTACAACCACCTTTGCGCGTACATTGAAGCAATGTTGTGGAAAGAGACGCGATCATGGTTCTCCAAAAGACAGCAGGCCGTTGCCGCTGCCGGGGCGGCGGTGGCGGCGTGGTCCGGATCGGTCGCAGTGTCATTGTCGCCGCCGCCGCCATCGGGCACCACACCTTCGGGAAAAGCTACCATTAGTCGCAGCCTTGGCGGCGGCAGTGCCGGCGGCGGCGGCGGCGCTGTCCAGGCAAATGAAGACCAGCTAGGTGACTGGGGTGCACTTTGCAGTGGCTCTCTATTGGGGGCGTTACGCTTCGTGGGATCGTTCCTAGCATCCTTTTGGCGCTTTGCGCCGTCAGCGCAGCAGATCCTGCCTGCCGTGCGGCGATGGCTGCGACTCGTCCGGTTGGTATTGGGCCTCCAGAGCGAAGGCACGGCGGACGCTGAGGCGTTTGCGTCGTACACTGCACGCTTTGCCGAAGGCCTCATGAACGTCATGTGAGTTTTAGAGTTCTGGGATTTTAGGGTTTTAGAGTTTTGGGATTTTAGGGTTTGGGGCGGAAAGTTATTTGCTGGTTTGGTTTGGGGAATGGGGTCATCATTTGCCTCGTTCAAAAATCCACCAATGTCGCTGGTGCCCCTGGCCTCTTTTGCATGTGCTTCTGCACATCTCGTCTGGTTTTCCTTTCCGACTTTTTCCTTTCCGACGTTTTCCTTCCGATATTCTCTTTATTAATGCCTTCTGTTTCAAGAAAAATCCTGGTGGTTCCATACGTGCTCTGTTGATGTTCATCATATCTCTCGTCAGGCAAGTGATGGATCTCATTGGCTTTGCTACGGTCATGACCCGCGGGTCGGTGCCTCCAGCCGCCATCAACGGCGACGGCGCCGCCACCAGTACTGACGGCGCCGCTACCAGCAACAGCCTCACAGCCTCCATTGACTCTGATAAGGCCTGTGTGCTCATGGCTGCCTCTACGGGTGTGGTCCTGGGGGCCCTATGGCTCGTACTCCCTAGAGCCTCGTGGAGGCGGCTCTCTGCTCAGGCCAAGTGGCCGAGGCAGGTGTCGTACACAATGGCGAAAGTCATGGTGAGAACTGAACTGGACTGCTGCTGCTGCGAGTGCCGTAGTGGCTTTGGTCTTGGTGGCGATGCTGCTGCTGTTGATGATGATGATACTGCTGCTGTTGCTGCCAAGGGCTTCATGGCGTATGTCGTATCATTCCGTGTCGAGATTTTCCTTTGAAATTGTGAGGATCATGGCATATGTGCGTCTTACTGCTCTGCTGCTTTGCTCGTGCTGATATTGCTGCTGGTGCCTTGCTGCTGCTACTGCTACCGTTGTTTGGCGGCTGCAGCAGCGCTAATCGTGGATAGGAGGAAAGTATTTTATTATTGCATTCCTAATATCCTCGGCGGCGCTTAATTCGCTTCTTGCAGGTTGCCTTTTTAGGCTTTCCGCAGCCGCCGGCGACGCTGCGCCACGAGCTGGGCGGGAGCATCTTTGTGGTCGAAGGCGTTATCCTACCCGCGGCTGTGCTGGTGAGACTGATGTGCGTGTGTATGTATGTATGCCGCCAGTTTTTAGGAGGAGAGGCCGTTATTTAACCTCCGAACCAGCTTCAAAAAAACGAGCTCTGAAACCGTTTTTTTGTTGGTAATTGCAGATGAGCCCGATGGAGTCGGTCATCATGGGCCTTATCCGAGCTCCTCTGTGCGCCAGGATGTGGCTGCTGGGGGCTGCCTCGCGCTTCACGGTCCCCACGGCGATGGTCCGCGCTCTGGCGCTGTCCGCTCTCAATGTCCTCACGACGGTGGTTATACACGTGTACATCCGTATGTCATACGAACGGGAGCGCGATGCGGCGCAGCATGCAAAGACTGAGTGAAGGAAGGGGTGCTTCTGTGTCCGTTCGGCGGGGCCTCTGTTGCCGGTTGTGGTTCTGGGTGTGGGATGATCCTGGTGCTAATGCGGGGGCCAAGGTAGGTGATGTCAATGCTAATTCTGCCGATTCTTATGGAGGGCTTGGGGGTAAATGCTGATGGCTGATGTGTGCTGATGTGTGTGTGTGTTTTCCGCCGGGAGGTCTCGGATTATGGCTTGTTGCACTGGGGGCCCGCAACTAATAGTGCACCATTTCAGTCGCTGGTGTTGTTGCTGCTGTTGCTGGTGTTGCTGTTGGTGTTGTTGCTGCTGAAGATTGGGGGAATGCAAATAACACGTTGTCAGCGTATGGAATGCTCCATGCAGTCATCTTTGGTTTGCTGAATGCTGACTAGCTATTGGCCATCTAGAGGAAAGGAGCGATGCGCACCCGTGGCTGCCGTATATTGTTATTGTTGCCATTTGCACATTTTGATTGTTATACTTCTAGGATAGAACACCATACAGCACCATCCATCATTACCACATTGTACTGCTCCGTACAAACTGCAAGGCGGGTTCCCATCCTGCCATCGAGAAAAGCCCTCGTCATTATGTTATCCTAGCATCCGTAGAGACAGAGGGTTTCAGCAATCGCCACCGATCCAGCGTGCGAATCTTGGTCGACAATGTTGGGGGGGGGTACCCAGGATTTGAATCCTGGACCGTATATGTTTAGTAGATATCAATCGTTTCTTTTCAAAATATTTTAAATGAAGCGAGCTATAAGCTATATTTAGATATTAGCTATTCGGCAAAAAAATCCAGCTCTTTAAATCATCTGGCTCATAATCTATCTACATCTACTATGCCATGCAAGCTATTTCGGGTACCCGAAGATATTTCGTCATCTATCATGGTATGAGATATGTCGCCCGGTGGCTCCTCTGCGGTTCTCGGAGGAGAGTGGAGGGGCCCACTCGCGCGCACGCACCTACTAGTGCTTTGTTTGCTTGTTTGCTGTTCATCTCATGCAGTCGAATATTATATTTTTTGCCGTAAACCTCCTCGTCCAGGGGGGGTTGTGGCGGCAGGTTGCTTCAGGGCTTCGTTTCAGAGATTGTTTCCGATACCCAATGAGCCCGCATGATTTCCCAAATTGTTATGCAATTGATTGGGCAAGACCTGCACATGCGTATATGCAGATGCAGGTGCAGGTGGATGCATCCTTAACTGCACATGCACAACATGCACATGCAGGGGTACACGTGCAGATCTCCAGCTGTTCGGAGGTATGTTTTCTGAGGGAGCTAACCAGGATCGTTTGCTGCACATGTACTCAAAAGCAGGGATGGATGGATAGATGGATGTGCACGCACGACGACGTGTGTGTCTCGTTTTTTTTCTGTTTTAGTGGATGATTTTTTTAGGATTATAGTTCACTCGGTGAGCGACTTGGTCATGGATGTGGTCGTACGGGGGATTTTCTGTCATAGATCCGGTCATGTTTCCTCATGACCACTCATGAGGCCTCATGACCGGTCATGTTACCGGTCATGAGGCAGATTGTAGCTTAGATGCGGCAGGAGCAAAGCGAGTATAGCCTCTAAGCTAAGTTATGTACGGCAGCCGTATGGCTTGCCGAGAATTTCGAATTCACTATTTCAGCTTACAGCTCCATAGTTCCGGCATTCTGCCTACACTATTGGAGCTTATTATTGTTGCTCTCAGTGTCCCTCGTTTACAAGCGGCAAGCTCGGCCCAGTTGGAGACCTGGCGATTGGGCAGCCCCCTCGGAACGCCAGACGCGCAGCGGTACAGCAATTACCGCACGGCCAAAAGCGCCTTTAGAGCATCGCCCCGCGCTAGGAATGTCGCCTGGCCAGCCCCACTGGCCAGCGTGTGGTTCATGCATCACTGACGCTTCAGGTTTGCCCTCGGGGCGGGTGACCAGTGGACGCAGTCATCAATGCTGCGTTTAGTCGTCTAGTTCTGTGTGTCAGTTCTTTCGGCCGTGCCGGTGTGGCCGTGCGGGACAGCGCTGCGTGCGCTCAGACCGCGCCTGTGGCGCTAGACCGCGCTTCGGCGCACACGCGCCTGGCGCTCCGAGAGCAGCAGTACTGCATTAGTGTAAGGCCCTTGGCAGCTCCGGTTCCGCCTCGCCCCGTCCTATCCGGCACCTCGAACGCAACCGTACGGCAAGCCATAAAGGCTACAGGACATAAGTCATGGTCATGACAGTTGTCATGCTACTTGTGCAGCATGACTGATCATGAATTGCAACTCATCTGTGTAAATTCAGCCAATGGTCTTATGCTGGCTATTTTGTTCCTTTCTAAACTGCGACAATTATATGCCAGGTCTGGTCTGGGTTGACACTACTGCGATTCGCGGTTTAAGGTCCTGGGTTCGATTCCTGGGGAGTCCCCCGCATTAGTCGGGAGCGCGAGATTATGGCTAGCTGCTGAGATGTGGAGTTGAGGTCGCAGTTGATGGACCAGATTCGCACGCCGGATTGGTGGCGATTGCCGAACCCTCCATCTCTTCAGTTGTTCGGGTGAATGGATGAGGAGGGGTCCTAGACGGCTGGACCCGCCGCCTTGGACTTACAGTTCGTATGGCGAAGTATAGTGTGGTAGTGGTGGATGGTGCTATAAGATGATAATAGAACAGACAATGTGTTAAAGCGGCCCAGAAGCCTCCCACTCTGTAACTTTGATATGCCATATGGACTCCAGAATCCCTTCTGAAATGCTGCATAGTATGTTACCTCTATAACAATTGTGCACAATGTATTATACAGCATCCCTGCAGAAATTCTGGAGTGCACTTGAATTGCCTTTGTTTCAGCCAGTTGTTGTTGCAGTGACTTGATATTCATACAGGCGCGGCAGTAAACAAAGCCCTTAGGCTTAGCTTCACTTATCCAACGCAAAAGATCAGTATATGCCAGCTAGCAGGGCAAGGCAGCCAACTTCCTTTTGGCCTGTTGCCAATCCTTACTCGGTCAGCTCCCTTACACCCTGTTGTTAATTTGAAACCCATATGTTACACACTCAAGGCATGCATTTAAGGTTTAAGTAGCAAAGAATCTTACCTGCTGTGTTCAAGCATGACATTTTAAATCACCAGCTCGCACCGTCCCACAGGCACAGCATTGTTGCTATAACTAGCTAAAACATGTAGGATGTCCAGTAGCCTCATCGGCAGGCGCGGCGGCGGCGAGGCCTAGCAACGCAGCAGCAGCGGCAGCGACGGTGGTGGGGCTGGGAGGTGCAGGAGCCTCAACGGCAGGCGCGGTGGCGGAAGGGCCTAGCAACGTCACAGCGGCAGCAACGACGGTGGGGCTGGGAGGTGCAGAAGCCTCAGCGGCAGGTGCGGCGCCTGCGGGACCTAGCAACGGAGTAGCAGCGGCAGCGACGGCTTTGGGACTGGGAGGTGCAGTAACCTCAATGGCCGGCGCGGCGGCAGCGGGAAATAGCAATGCTGCAGCAGCAGCAGTGACGGCTTTGGGGCTGGGAGGTGCAGTAACCTCAACAGCATGTGCGGTGGCGGTGGGAAATAGCAAGCTGGGAGGTGCAGTAACCTCAAGGACATGCGCTGCGGCAGCGGGAATAAGCAATGCCGCAGCAGCGGCAGAGATGGCGGTTGGGCTGGGAGGTGCAGTAACCTCAACGACAGGCGCGGCGGCGGCAGGAAATAGCAACACCGCAGCAGCAGCAGTGATGGCAGTGGGGCTGGGAGGTGCAGTAACCTCAACAACAGGCGCAGCGGTGGCGGGAAATAGCAACACCGCAGCAGCGGCAGTGACGGCAGTGGGGCTGGGAGGTGCAGTAACCTCAACGACATGCACGGCGGCAGCGGGAAAGAGCAATGCCGCAGCAGCGGCAGCGATGGTGGTGGGGCTCGGAGGTGCAGTAACCTCAACGACATGTGCTGCGGCAGCGGGAATAAATCTGATTGAATAGCTAACTGCTAGTTTTAACTTGCATGAAATGCAAAATGCATTCGCTGGCGCCAACGTAGCCCCCAGTACTGTGCATTGCGTTACATTTTCCATAAAAATTTTATGTGCTTTTCAATTTACTATATGCTCAGCAAATTGCTAGGGAAATGGGCTCACCTGGACGCGCCATGCTGCCGGCTTGCGCAAGAGATCTCGAGGCGAGCACCATATGCATCTGTACGCAAGCATGTTCACGACTGGACCTCTTCCACAAACATGAAACACCTGGAGAACCCAGCGAGCGACCGACACAAAACACTCATGAGAGCATGGTACGAAAATTGAAGTACGAAGGGTTTATGTCTGCATTTACAACGTTTCGGAAGATGTGGCGGCTGTGATGTCATCTACTTTTTCCATTTCCAATACGTACATAATGCCCAAATACCAGCCTCAGCTCGAGCTATTACCCATTCCAGAGCTACACCCGCTAAGTGTAGCAGATCTTGAATTGTCAACTCCTTTTAGTTCAGCAAAATACAGGAGGAGAAAATCCCCCCGTCTTCGTTGTAGAAGGACAATGTCATACCCCAATACGCCGTCCGAACCCTCAATGGCAGTATCACCGATATCGGCAGTTTCTTCATCGGAACTGCCATCAACGCCAGCTGGAGCGTGGTGAGTAGTTCCTCCTCCCGCACATGTCTATGTCTATGCGTAAACCCGCACATGTCTATGTCTATGCGTAAACCAAGCATGTGGTGTTTTCTGGCCAGGAAATGATGCATTTCATCTATTTGTTTTGTATAATTTGCAGTGAAAATGCTGCAAAGGTTTCTTCCGATGGTGCTGGTCCCACGGGTCCTTTGCTGGAGCTCGGTCCAGCGGCCGCGCTCGTTGCTGGTCCCGTGGGACCAGCACCGTCGGAAGAAACCTTTACATGATTTTCACTGCAAATTATACAAAACACATAGATGAAAAGCATCATTTCCTGGCCAGAAAACACCACATGCTTGGTTTACGCATAGACATAGACATGTGCGGGAGGAGGAACTACTCACCCCGCTCCAGCTGGAGTTGATGGCAGTTCCGATGATGATGCCGATATCGGTGATACTGCCATAGAAGGCTCGGAAGGCGTATTTGGGTATGACATTGTCCTTCTACAACGAAGACGGGAGGATTTTCTCCTCCTGTATTTTGCTGAACTAAAAGGAGTTGACAATTCAAGATCTGCTACACTTAGCGGATGTAGCTCTGGAATGGGTAATAGCTCGAGCTGAGGCTGGTATTTGGGCATTATGTACGTATTGGAAATGGAAAAAGTAGATGACATCACAGACGCCACGTCTTCCGAAACGTTGTAAATGCAGACATATCTCGCTCCGCAAAAGATTGAATGTAGAAGCTATATCTATTCTATATCCATCTGCCGAAGGAGAAATTCCAGATAAATCGGACTAGGGGGCCGGCTTTTCAAAGCCGAAAAGGGGCTCGGCCCCGGTGCAGGATGCGATTGTTACAGTGCAGCCACTTGACCCCCGTTTGATTCGCAGAGCAGTCCGTACGGCATAGGGGTGCAAGCACAAGAACGCCGCCACGTTTTGAGTACACACTTGTTATTGAAATCCTCAAACAATAAAGGTCGGCAGACTTGCGACGGCGGTGTAGACCTGTCTGGATCGTCGCAAGCGCGCAGTCGCCATAGCATAATCATTATTGACTGAACGGTTAGCCTTCTCGTGATTCGGCAACCTTAGAATGACATACACACAAAGCAGGAGTGTCATTGCGGCAACGTTTGTTGCCGCCGCTGCGCCAAATCCATGAGTCGGGACTGCCCGGTACGTAGGAGTCGGGACTGCCCGATACCGTTGCATCCATGTTCGACGCCGGCCCTTCTGCTGGCTGGCAGTTCAAGGCGCGTCAAAGTGCCCGTGTTTCATGGACCAATTGTTGTCCGCTCCCAGCCAGAACGCATTCGGGGATCGTTCCAATTACACATTTTGATGTCGGTGTGCAGCGGCAAAGCTGATGGTGTGTCGCAAAGGCACACTTCGTTTGAACTTGGATTGAATGAATGAAGAAGAGAATAAGAAGGACAACAATCAAACAGGCACGAGCGAGACGCCAGGAGGGAGGTGCTTAGAGTGTTGCCATGGGTCGGTCTAAACCCTAAGGAACCAACCCATAAGGGATCATGCCGTTTGCTTATGAATCTATAATGTAAGGGACATGCAACGACGTCAGCGGCAAGGGCTGCGGAGTGAAGGGAAATCAAACTCGAAGCCATGGAAAGCTATCTTCCCGCTCCGATGTATTTGAATGTTCTCCTTTGGCTAATCGATAAAGAATTGATGTAGCTTTTACATGCAATCTTTAGCGAAGTGAGATATGGAAATTGATCTCACCCTGGAAAGCCATCTTCGCCCACAGATATATCTGAGTTCATTCCCTTGGTTTATCAATAGAGATTTAGAATAGCTTTCAGACGCAATTTAAAGCGGGGCGAGATACGAAAGTTATGGCTGGTTGCATAACAAATTGCGGGTGCGAGGTGACTGCTTGCATAAGGACGTGTTCACATGTGGGCGAATCAGGGTTGATTCATGCGAATTGGACTCTGAATTGAACCTGATTGGACCCGAATCGGAATTGGGGTCCGGGGGGGCCTCTTCGGGTATGATTCGACGTGATTCACAGTTTTCTTTCTCAAAACAAAGTTGTTTAACAAACCGTTTCTCATAATTACCATTACAATACTATAGGAACATTTTCCAATTGTTAATTCACGCAAAGCGCACCGAGCATTTTTCACGAACTCCTGCAGCTATGTATGTACAAGCCTGGTGATAATTTTCGCCATAGAAACGATACTTATACTGTTCTGTTCCTAGATAATGCTGGCTTGCCTTGGGTGATGGGGCGTAGCCGCGGAGCTTCAGCAGGGCGCGGTGGCACCTCGCGCGGTGGCCGCAATCGTATGTGAACACAATTCAGAAAGCCGCCCCGAATCGGACTCCCAATCAGACTCTCAATTGGACTACATGTGAACACACCCTAACAAATTGCGGGTACTGCTAAAGTTGCAAGTCGCAAGTCGCAAGTCGCAAGGAACACGCAAAATTTCTATATGAAATTCTATATACGCGAATACGTACGTGAACCACGCCTGTAGGGTGTAAACAGATAGCATTTGCGGCGTCCGCGTCTACGGGCTATGGCCGATCGCAGGCGTAACTATGCTGAAGTGGCTTGCGGCCTATGTGGCTTCGTCTGTCTGAGCAGTGCAATGTAGCTGTCTGAGCAATGCAATGTAGCTGTTCATACGCACAAGCTCACTCAGGCCTCATCTAGTTCTTATCAGTATTTGCTTAATGTATCTCATCAAGTTCTTAGCAGTATTTGCTTATGGGCCTTCTGGTGGGGTTCCGAGGACTTTCGCCAATCGGGGAGTCTAATTGCAAATTCCCCTGTGGTTGCGTGTTCTGAGCCTGCCCTTGGATTTGCTTTTGGATGTCTAGGTGACTTGTGTTGTCTGGTCTGGGTGGGAGTCTTGTTTGCCCTCATCGTATCAGGTGCAGTGCACGGCCTGCTGGCCCGCTGGCTGTACTCTTTGTGAGTCTGGAGCCCACTGTAACAACCACACTGCCTCGAGGCATCCCTAGCCCCGGCGGTGGACTGATAGGAACTAGCCTAGTCCGCACAAGTTCCACACAAGTGTGGGGGTGTCCGTAAGAGCTGGGGGGCCCATGGGCGGTAAATCATTTTTAGGGCGGTTTTTGGTGGACCATCATCGTCCACCCTCGTCCGCTTGAGCACGGAGCGCCTTAGAGCAACATGCCGGGTCCCAGACTTCCGAGAGGAACCTGGCTAGTGCCAGGGGTGGGGCCTCGGTCATAATGGTGTGCATGTTGCACCCTTGAAACACGAGGTCACGTTCGCCCGTGTACTAATGTACGCCAGGCATTCCACAAAGACATGCATTTTGTCTTCAACCGCCCCGCAGTCACAAAGCCTGCAGGTGCACGCTGTGCACTCATGGCCATTAGGTTGGTTAATCTCTAACTCCCAACAGCCTAACCGGAAACATATAAGCATTTGATGCAAACATTGGGGCATGGCGATTTCAGGTGGTCATTATGGATTTCAGCACGAACAATGAACCCTGCCCGCTCCCCCTGGTCAGTTGTGGGCAAGCATCAGAGAATCGGGTGAGAGACCGAGCTTTCTATTAGGGCCTGGTGCCTTAATAGGGAGGGGTAGGGTCTGTACAGGGTTTCCAGGTTTCCTCGGTCTTCTTGAACCTTCACCCCAAGAGCCAGTCTTCTTGTGTGTTTCAGGCTCAGTGCTCAAACTCGCGTGACGGAGCCTTGACCCCCGGGGGAGGAGAGCGGAACTAGTGGACTTGCGGCTCTCGGCTGCCTAGGAGGGGACAGAGGCCCCTTACGCCCCTCTCCTGTCTGCGGGAGGAGCTTAGGTGGTCTTTCTGTTGGGGCTGGGCAGCAGTCCCTGGCCAGTTTCAGGCACGGTCAAATACTTGCAACACACGCACACGCACACACACACACACACACACACACACACACACACACACACGCGCGCGCGCACAAGCTCACGAGATTGAAATGAATTGTTACAGAGTGGGAGGCTTCTGGGCCATTTGAACATATCGTCACACAAGCTCGCGATATGCCAGCTGAACTGATTCCCTGGTAAAAACCTTCTTGCGGACGAACCCAGCTCAGACAATGCACGGCTAATATCAGGGCCGCTCCAAAGAGTGCCCAGTAAGTTTGTCATAGCGGTGGCCAGATCGGAGAGCGATGCTTGGTCGTCGGCCTGCACCAGCTCCACCAGCGTCTGTGCAGCGATCTCATCAAACTTGCGTGGTTTGCGTGTTCCTGATTGTCCTCTAAGCGGCAGGACATCACCATTCGCCACGTAGGACTGTATGATAGCATGCACAGTCCTCTCGCAAGGTCTGTGCCCGAAAGCCTCAGCTATTTGCGCTTGCGTGTAACCCTCGTCGAAATAGAGGTGGCAAACACGTTCGCGCACTTGTTTGCTGTAGTAGTAACGGTTCAATACTTCTCCCATTGTGAGATCCGCTCTACAAACTGAGTATGCACACGTACGTATTCGCGTATATAGAATATTGTAATAGAAATTATGCGTGTTCCTTGCGACTTGCGACTTGCAACTTGCGACTTGCGACTTGCAACTTGCGACTTGCGACTTCAGCAGTACGCAAGACCGCACTTCGCCTCGCATCCCGCAATTTGTTATGCAACCAGCCATAATATGTTAGGAAGCTAACTTCGCCCATTACACCATGACTGACTGACTAACTGACTGACTGACTGACAGACAGCAGTGAACCTAGGGGGCTCGGCCCCCCGAATGGCGCTTCGCGCCCGGGGCCTCGCCCAAAAACTCGCCGGAAGTTTATAAATCGTAATTGGGGCACTTTAAAGGTGAGTATGCCGAGAGCAGTCCACACCAACCTGACGCGTTTTTGCCTTGGCACGTTGTGTCACGGTTCGCACCTCAACCCCAACCCCGGCCGTAAGCCGCGGAAGTAAAAAACGTGCCGGGTTTGTGGAGCGGGGGAAAGGCAAAGGTAGAAGACGAGCTACATACACGTGCTGAAGGAATGTCCTGCTTACGAGCCGATAAGGCGACTGCAGTTGGTTTCATTACCGGATATGTAACGTCATGCGCAACGTTATGGGCTGGGTCTTTTGACGCGACGAAGCTGGGAAGCCTGCTGGTGCAAATTAATAGAGGGCACGAAAGGAGATTAACCCAGATACGAGAATTGTTTATTTCAGGTTAGATCAGATCTAAATTGATTCCACGTGTGCCCCCTGACGGTTCCCATTGGGGGGGAGAATGAACACATGTTGCTTGCCAACGGTCAGTGTACAACAACAACATGTAACCTTTAGGAGTCTCAACGTAAAAAGTCACCCAAGTGTAATCGCAACCCAAATGGAGCTGCCAGTGACAAGTGTCATCACGATTATAGCAAGCGTGCCATAACCTAGACTCACGCGTGGTAAAAGATATGCAAGTGCCCAAAAAGGTTAACCAAGTAAAAGCGAAGAATATGCCAAGTGGCGAAGTGCCGGAGTCTTAAGAAATTCTAAATTCTAAAATTCTAATATGCAAGTGTGCCACAACAACATGTATGTATGGTGTTGTTACAGGGTGGTATAGCTTTACCAGCGTCCCCCTTTCCCGAGGCAGTTCCCTGCTCTCCACTGCGAGAGGGGCATCCTAATCCATTCACCCCATCCGATTTCAGAATCTATTCATTGGGTTCAGCAACTCACCACCAGCATCTAACAAAAAATCGCGGATCAGCGGCGCCACAACTTAGTTCCTGGCCAGCTCGCAAGTTGATATAATCACACGTCCTACACCGTCCATAAGATGGGGAGCCACCTCCCATTAAACACCCCTCACTCACCGAGGGGTCGGCAGGTGGATTTCAACCCGAAACCTCCGGGAGCAGAAGTCAGGCCTTAACTTCTGCCAGCCACCTGCCTATGCATGTATGTAAGTATGTATGTATGTATGCGTGGATCAGATGAAGGTGAGGCGGGAGTAATGAGATAGACACTCAATTTGGATCAGGACACGAAACAAGAAGTCTGTTTAAGGGAACAAAGTCGGGTTTTGATTCGTACAGGACCGCCGTACAGCCTCCTGGCCTGACGACAGGGTCAATCCACAGATGTGTGTGTGTGTGTGTGTGTGCACCACCTGCAACATAACAAAGTCGTGTGCGAAGACTTTTCAAAAATTATGGTTACCAAAATATGCCTTTTTAAATACTTCTCATTTCACCGCCACTGCCAGCGCCATTCCTATCACCAGCCGCTGGCACTGTACACCAAACCCACCTCACCTTGTGCACAGAGGCCTTGCCGCGTCACACCTTGCAGGGAAAGATACCTTGCTTGCGGATCCCCCGAATCACAATCATCAATGTCACGATTGGTGATGATCGCTTGATTGACGATTGGTTGATTAATGACTGCTTAATTGTTTGTAGAAAGCTTGATTGTTCAGTGACTTGTTTCATCCATCCACTCACATACGCTCAACCCCCCCTACGGTAACCCAGCCTTGCCCAGAGCACCCTTCCACCTTTCCATCCAGCTTACAATGCCCATAATTATATGTCTACAAACTTTTTAAAGGTCGTAAAAAGAAGTAATCCACAACAACCGCAACCCATTCATTCCTACCTATTCATTTTTTTGTTTATTCTTCAAGCCATTCATTCCTACATCCTTCCATCTAATCATCCACACCCATCCATCCTTCCATCAAGCACATCATCCGACTATCGCAAGGTCTCCGGCTGCAGTTGCTACCGCGACCTGAAGTGGATAAATCTGGCGCCACTGCCCGTCATGACCCACATCGCAGCGGCTGCCAAAAGCATGGTCAGCAGCGTTGACTGCCGTACTGCCGTACCCGCACCGCTGCCACTGTTGGCGGTGCTGGTGTAGTTGCAGTACGCTGGGTCGATGATGAGACCGTTAGTGTTATTGTAAAGGGTCCTATTGAAAGCGATTATGTCGGCTGATGTGTTGCTAGTCGCCAACAAGGTTGGTAGCTGGGTGAGAATCACCGGGTCGATAGTGGAGTCATCTAGTCCAGCTCGAGCGGCTGTGATGTTCCGCAAGGCGCAGTCATCATAATAACCTGCAGGGGTGATAACAAGACATATTGTGGGCCTCTTAGTTCGGAACAGAGCGCAGGTCGGTCACGTCTGTGAGATGCTAGCTCAGGTACTAGTACGGGTTACGGCATGCATTTTTATTCGATGGAAGTACATATGATGTGTGAAACAGGGGGTAATATCTCCACCCGTGGCAGCTACCCTGCGAAACCCTGCCTTTCCCGGTATTTCGGAACACCCTCATCCAATCACCCTAGTCAACTTCTCAGTGGATCGCTCAGGTTCCGCACCCACCACCGGCATCCAACGGAATCTGCCGGATCGACGGCGGCCCAACTCCATTCCTGGTCAGCTCGCAAGACAACTTTATCCCAGGTCACCACCGTCCATCAACTAGGGGCACTATTCCTTCCACCATCGGAAGGATTTTCGACCGTGATAGGTCTCAATCCTGGGATCTCCCGGGGGCAATGGTCGTGCGTTACCAGTAGTGCCTAACCTAGTATAATAGTACATATGGTTGCATGTGTGAGCACATACATACTGCTAGGGGTTATAGGGGTTTACGCAGTTGATGCGAGGATGGTGATGGTTTTTGCGGTGGCTGTGCTGCGTGCTATTGGTCATCTGGAGCGGTGCTGTGCAGCCAAAGATAACTAGGTACAAGGTGTTATACATGCTTCAAGCACCACCGGGCATTACCAAGACAGCTTTTAATGACTGCTCTAATTTCATCATCAATTTATGTAGCATCAGCCACCTCTCATCTTAGACCGCCACACGGACGGTTTCAGGTAGGTGGTTTGTGTGCATGAATGAATAGCCCCGCTGCTAACAGTGACCGCCCAACTCGCCCAACTAGGCGCGACCAAAGCTAAGTGCATCTCCATAGTCCAAAACCAAGCCGCACGATGAGAAACCCTTAGCGCCAGTTGGCCCCCCAGGCAGACAGAACGCTGATTTGGAAAAAGAGAAAAAGAGAGCACCCATCGAATCTAAGGAGGTATGCTGCGCCGCCGTGCTGCAGTGCATCGACCCACCATCATAGTAGAAACGCGTGGCTGGGTATGTGAAGCCGTTGAAGTAAACCAGCGAGATTACGGCAGCAGCGGTGATGACACGAATACGCGTCGTTACCCCAATACTTCTACCATACGTCGTCGTGCGGCCAGAGGACACAGTTGTCGTTGTGGTAGTTGTGGTCGTTGAGGAGCCGGATCCACCAGACCTTGCACCCCCGCTCTTGGCAGCCACGGCAAAGGCCGGAGAAGAACCATGTAGCGAGATGATTAGGACACCAACCATTAAGGTACGGCCGGGAGAGAGCAGCACCCGGGTCATGCTTGATACAGAATGAAGTAGTTCGTCAGGATGAAGATGTCTTGAAGGGCCCTCCGGTTCGTCCCTCCGACTGCAACACCTGGGTTTTTACGCTAAGCACATTTCATGGATAGATTTCAGGTACCTGTCCAATTATCTTATGAGCTTGGTTCATAGTATGAGCGGAAAGACGACGCGTTTGAGGAAGCAAGCGCAACAGGCACGAAACCGTTTGCAAATTTGTCAGCCATACAGTATAGTAGGCAACCAAATGTCTGAAAAACCATAAATGATAATGGAATGCTGCATGGTCATTGACAACCCACCTACTATAATACTGTAATGTAACAAGCCACTAATAATGAGCTTCTCACATCCATCCGACACGTAACTTTTATAATAGTTATCTGTTAACAAGCGCCTTTCGTGCTCAAGTTGATATGTTGGCCGGCTACAACACCTGGCGTCGGACACATACGTGGCAGTACTGTACAACCTTTACTATATAAGAGATACAGACAGCAGCTTACGAGTCATCTAGATTATCAGTACTGCCGAACGCCTTGCGTATTGCAGCGCTTTCGTGCCTTGTAGACAACGTAGTTGGGAGCCACATTACTATAGTATACATGCAACGACATGCGTAGGGCTAAGCATTCAAGCTTGAGATCTCGAGCAATTGGATTTCGAGCCGTTATCCATCTTCCGGCAAGGCGCCCTAACCAGGTTTCGGTTTCATTCGATGCGCTTTCCATGCGTGGAATGTACATAAGCCGAAGAGATTAGCGTGATGATACATCTCGCGCATGGATGCCTGCCAGAACATGGGATGAAGGGCAACTAGGCGAGCGTCGGGACGCACGGCCTCAGCATCTGTCTCATCTGCAAACAGGTTATGCCAACCATCATTGTGCCTATAGCTATGAGGTCCGTACGGTGCATGGATACCCTTATTGCCCGTCATGACAGCGCTGTATCGGCAAAATGCCCCGTATTGAGAAAAGGCAGAAGCTAATCATTTCCAAAAAGCCCTACGGAATCCCATATGCCAGCCAAATTCGCCAGCTCTGGTAGATAGGCCTCTGTGTGGCTGGCGGGCCATGTAGACATGGATGACATACCAAGGGGTGACATGGTAAGATGCATGGGAAGTTATTAAAGCGCGTGCTAGCTACGTATACGCCTGGAGCTTTCGTGCACACAACAGATCGAGGATGGAATCGATCGATTGTTTTCAATGGTCCGGCAGAAAGGGGCAGAACTGGGCGGGCTCGATGCCATGGCATAGCATAAGAGTGAGAATCAATAACAGGATGCGTGTTTGGCGCATTAGTGGCATTTCTAGCATCACCAGGGCTCCGTGCCCTTGCAATTCTGCCGACGTACGGCAGTACAAACCGTCAGGACACAACCCGTTTGCAAAACTGGTTTTTACGTGCCCGTTGCGAGCGTGTTGGGAACATTGTTCAGGTATGCCTTCCTGGCATTTGCCTATCCAAAGACAATTTGAGATGACGGGGGAGGTGAAGACAGCAGACTTCTCTTTAGTACGGCACAGCGCAAATACGACAAGCAAAGTCAAAAAAGGCTTCCTGCAATTTGTCAATTAACCGCAAGTTGCGGTTAGTAAGCCCTGGCTGGCCCAAGTCTTTCATAGCATCCATCGACTTGGTCCACAGCAGGAGAGATCGGCTGCCCCCTTTCCTTGTGACCTCAGCAGGCATGGTTTTCACATCTTGAACTTCTACTTAAATAATTTGGACATTTGAGGACTCGCACCTTAGTAGCAAAGACGTACGAGTTGTGAGTCGGGAATATCTGACAGGCTCGAAGAGAGCTATTCGCCAGCAAACATGACTATTGGAGCTGTTTTTGGTCTCCTAATCTTAGCGAATATCCTATCTCCCTCATTTGCTGGAAGCGCAGTAGTGGACCTCACAGATGAGGACTTTGACGCGAAAACTTCAACTGGAGTATGGATGATTAAGGTAAGGGAAAGACCCCTTGGCGTCTATATGTGTAAATAAGAATGAGAGAACGAAGTGGAGCATCAGCCGGAGCCAGGGATTCGCACGGCCCTCCTTACCGCCTTCCCATGCCATCCTATCCTACACCCGCGCAGGTGTACGCTCCTTGGTAAGTCTACACCGATCCGCACAGGCTCCCTCTGCTCTACCGGTGATCTCCCTTTTCGGTTTGTCACGCGGCGGGGGCTGGCTACTGCAGCGCCTATCCCGCGACCTGCCGGCTCTTGTACGCCTCCAGCTGCCTCCAACCCCGCCACGGCAATCACCTTGCGGGGCCTCCCTTGTTCAGCGTAGCAGCCCTGCCGGATGGTGTGACCCGTTCTCTCCGCTCCGCTTCGCTTTTGATCGATCCTGCCAAACCAACGGTATCCTTGTAGGTGTCCTGAGCAGGTTTTGCTATTCTGAGTTTCCTGAACGGGTACATTCCCATGTTCCAAGGTATGACGTTGTCGTTCAGGACCCGTACTGTGTCGCGTGGTGTTCGCCTTGGCTTGCTGTCAGGTGCCCGGAGTGTCGCAAACTGGAGCCTCTATGGCAGGCGTTTGCTGAGGAGGCAGAGGCGGACGGTCTGAGCGTGGGCAAGGTGAGCACTGGTGGGATCGAGGCGCGAGGTGTGTTGAGGGAGAGAAGGAAGGGAAGGAACTATCGCATTGCGAAGGTGCCGGGAGGAGGGGGGAACGTGTGGTCCGCGGGCATGTGTGGCAGTAGAGAGGGACTGGGAGGGCAAGAAGAAAAGAAGCCAGCTATAGCCGCGGAGTAGGGTGTAAACTGTTCAGGGGAAAATCGTGCTCAACGACGGGCAACGATGGGTGGGTGGGGTCATATGGGCCCATGGGACTCGGAACCAGAGTAGCGACCAAGTTGGGGCCGGTCGTGTCAGGTAAGCACAACAGCTACGGCGTCTCAGGCTCCGGTGGTCGCAAACAGGAAGGAAGAGGAGAATGCCAGGGTGGGGAGAAATGCCATGTGCGCGGCCAGGCGATGCAGGCGGAGGACAGAGCGGTAGCGGCGGTTCTTCCTGGTTATAGGAGGAGTGTGGTAAGCTAAACTACAATGAAGCTAGTACCTATAGCTAGCAGTCTAGAGTGTATGGAGGGGTGGCTGTGGGATTGCGATTGGGTGGAGCTCTTCGGCGCAGCACAACGTCCCCCGCCACATGAACCAGTGTGATATGCGTGTCGTGTACACATGTGGTATGATGTAGCCACCCGCCAAGAGATGTCACGATCTAACTGATTGCCCGCCAGTAAACGTCTGTCTGTCTGTTTCTGTCTGTCTGTCTTTTAGCATCTAATGTATCCTTTTTGCTCATTTGCCTTTCCTTTCTGTCTTTTCTGTACTTGTGTACTTGTTTTGTCCTGGGTGCAGGTGAATGGCGACAGTGAACGAGCACTGCTGGCTCGCTTCCGAGTCAACACCGTCCCCAGGTTCTACTTGTTGCGGGAGGGCCGCACGTACGAGTACATGGGGCCCAGAAACATCATGGCGGTGAGCCAAGTAGTGGAGTGGAGGAGGAGGAGGAGGAGGGCCAGTAGCAGTAGGAGGGGGGTTTCAGAAGGAAAAGAATGGCGGACGTAAAGACGAGGAGGATGAGGGGGAGGACCAGGATGTTGAGAGAGCGTTGAGGGGCGGAGAGGGAGAGGAAGCTGCCAGACAGGCAGACAGATAAATAGACAGATAGACAGGCAATTCTATAGACAATCATGTCAAGCGCCCTTTCGCTTCAAGAGGGTACCTGCATCCGCTCCCTGCTTGTTTTTCCACTCGCACCCGCGCTGCACGCACTTTTGTCTGCCCGCCCCTGCTTCATCCCCGGGGTTATTCCCCCCTCTTCGACCGCCTCTTTGTCCGCCAACCCCGCGACCTTCTCCCCTGCGCCTCATGTCCTCAGTTCCGGTCATTCGCGACCTCCGGCTACCGAACAGCCAAGCCACTGCCCTTCCACCGGGCGCCCAACAGCGCCCTCGGCCGCGTTATTGGCCGCTTCTACAGGTAGGGGCACTTGGTTGTATAGCGCAATGAACCGACTCCCATTTTTTCTGCGCAGGTCAGAAAGGGAAGAGGGTTTTTGGTGGTGGTGGTCGTGTTGCTGCTGTTGTTGATCCGCCCTCAGCTTACTACTACTAGTACTCTGTCCAGTTCTGCTCCCTGCCCCTTCTCCCCTCCCTCCATGGCTACTGCGGTTCCTACCCTCCCTCCCGCCTGCCTGCCTGTCTGCAGCTTGCCCCGGTTGGGAATGCGGGTGTACCGGTTGCTCCGAGACCAACACGGGCTGTCTGACACGGCCATTGTGTTGGGCTTCCTGGCCATCCCCGTCGTGGTGGGGGGGTTGCTCATCTGCGCGCTGGACGCCATGTACTTGCGGAGGGCCAAGGACGAGTTCGGGCCAGAGCACGAGCACCAAGAGTAGTGTGAGCTCACAGGGTGCGGCGATGCCAGCTTTCCGCAAGTGTTGTTGAGCTTGTGGGGGAAGGGAGACGGGGGACCAGCCCAGCACTTCGTAGCGGCGGCAGTAGTCATAGGATTAGAAATAGCAATCGCACGGGAGCAGCTTGGTGCAATACATACATAACTACATACATACTGGAGTGCTGTGGCATTTGCCAGGGCGATTGTGGTAGCGGTGGTGGTGGTCTGGTCGAGGTGTTTGGTGGGCGCTAAGCAGAGGAGCCGGGACGACAGACCCGTAACTATGTAAGTATGTACGTATGTGAAACGAGGGGATGAACGGAGATTGAAGTACACGCAACACCAGGGCCTGCTTGCCGTAGGCTCCAGGTGAGCGGCCCGGGCATGCAAGATACGTAAGAGCGGGTGGGTAGGAAGGGAGAAGAGAAGGAAAGGAGGTGAGTGGCTCCGTGGGTGAGTGGCTCCGTGGGTGAGTGGCTCCGTGGGTGAGTGGCTCCGTGTCTGGCACCCATTGTGGTATGACAGTAGAGGGGGCGAGGATCAAGGGAGGGCGGTGCGTCCGTGTGGTGCAGTGCGCGCCTGTTCATGGAAAGAACTCCCGTGCATGCGAGAACTCTGATGCTACTAGGCTGGACTGGACGGACTTAGGACGGATTTTGGGCTTTCACCGAAAATGCTCGAGAGATTGGAATTGGCTACGAAGACCTGTGAGTCGTTATCATGTCGTCGCAAATGTCGTCACTCTGATTGATGTGATGAATCTGAATCGAGAATCCTTGGGGAGGTTTTCTCGGTAATAAGAGAGCCATGCATTCGTCCATTCATCCATCCATCCAGCGGCAGTACGGAGCTGTGAAAAGCGACCACCACCAAATCGGTACTGTGGATCGTCACAGATTCCATGGGTGGTTCTACGTTCCGACAAGCGTATGGATGGCAACCCGTCTGATACTGTTTTCAACTCGACCACCATGAAGATGACAATCCTGAGTCTAATTTTTTCCCGCAAGCCGTGTTTCGAATCTCCTCGCCCGTCGTACCCAAGACTTGCAACAGCTCCATTTATCAAGGCCAATTGCGGACATGTGAAGTTGAGGTCAAGTTAATGGACCGAGATTCGCACGCTGGATTGGTGGCGACCGCTGAACCCACTGCCTCTAAGGATGTTTGGGTGACTGGATGAGGAAGGATTCTAGATGGCAGGATGGGAACCGCCTTGGACTTGCAGATCGTATGGCGTTTAGTCATTGTGGCAAAGGTGTATAGTGCTCTTTAAGGTGTTAATCCTAGACCAGAATTCAATCAAATGCATTCGGCCCAGATACCTCCCACTCCGTAACACTCATAAATAGCCATATTATGTCTCCATCGCCTTCCAAGTTCCAAGTTCGCCCACAAAGCCATCACGGACAAAAAAATGTTTTTTATATGGACACCCTCACCTCCACAGCAGCAGCAGCAGCGCAGATAAGAAATAAATAAGCACCAACCGAACACCAAGATGAGCATTCATGAACACAAAAACATATTCTGCATGTTACAATATGTACTACTACCTAGACACATACATTCTGAACATTCTAGACCCTGGACCCCCTCTTCTTTCGTGCTTGTTGTTAAGTTGGGCGCGCGGGCGGGTGGGTGGCTGGGTGGGTGAGTTAGTGAGTGCTGAGGGGAGGGAGAAAAGGCGCGGATGAACGGGTGTACGACGGCCAAAAAAACACGTCCGGCAGCCGCCACCCTCCCCTTCCAAACCCCTTTCCCCCCCCCAGACACACATGGCTCAATGTTTTAAAACCTTTTGAACAAACCCCCCTTCTGCACAAAAACAAACAAGCAAACGAAAAAAGAATGAATGGGCTCCCCCCATCCTTCCCATCAACTTACTGTCTATATATAGATATGTCTGATCCTTGACAGACCCCAATCGCGTGCTGCTGCTCGATCAGAAAGAATTTCCCGCTCTCGCACCCCTCCCCTCTTACTCCTGCCGTTGCCGTCACCGAGTCTGGCGCCGCTGCCGCCGCCGCCGAAGAAGAAGCTCCAGCCCTGCCCGCTGTCGACCCGGCCTTGTCGCCGCCATCCCCTGCATGGCTTTCCTCACCCCCCCTCCTCCCCGCCCCTCCCCTTCGCCCCCCAAATCTAACCCCTGCAGACCCCGGCCCCCCGCTGCCTGCATACCCTGGCCCTGCGCCGCCGCCGCCGCCGCCTCCTTGGCGGCACGTACGGCCTTGGCGCGTGCCGCCGCCTTGGCGGCGGCGGCCTGACGCGCCGCCAGCATCTCCGCCGTCACTTTACTGAAGAAGTCGTTGGGCATCCATCGCTCGTCTGAACTTCCCGGCAGGCGGGGGCCCCGGCGAAACAAACCGCAATGTATGGCCCGGGGGTTGCCATGCAGCTCCCGCAGGTCCAGGGAGGGAAGGGGTTTGGCGCCCAGGGCCGCCACCACGGACATCAGTAGCTCGTCCAGTCGTACTAGCACTCGGCCAAAACTGGAGCAGGGTGCCGTTACCGCAAGAGTGGGCGTGTCGGGGTGTATGAGAAAAGGGGCCCAGCATACGGAGGGGCATAGAGAGGTGCACGTTCGCGGGGAACCAGGACGACCCAAGGTTGGTTACGCGGGGGGAGGAAGAGGGGGAGGGGGGGAAGGGTCTCAGCACGTGCGGCGAAAAGAAACCCTTCCGGCAGCTCCCCTCCCTTCACAAACTCAGCAAAACTCCGCCATCACCCCACCGTTCTCCCCTCTCTTCAACCCCCATCCCGGATTTCCCGCTCCCGGGGGAGGGGATGACGATGAGGAGGAGGAGGAGCGGGGAGGCGAGGGGATAGGAGAGGGGAGGAAGACGAACCACGAAAGAGTGAAGCTGGTGCCAATGGTAGGTGATATGCCTGAAGAGGAGAGGGGGGTTTATACATATACCCCTAAAATATTTTGAAAGTCTTAAGCTCATCGCCCAACGCACTTACTTGTACCACTCCATGTCGGGCGCCTGCCTGTCGTACAAAAAGTCAAGATCTCGTGGCAAGTACGGGTCGTACGTTAGGTTGAGACGCTGGGCGGCCTTCACCGAATCCTTGTCATGGATCTGCAGACAGCAAAGGAAAGAAGACAGCAGCGTAACCGTAATGATGGCCACCAGCAGTGGAGGCACGCGTGTGTGTGTAGTAGTTGCGGTGGGAAGCAGGATGGGCTGTAGCGGTTGGGAGACGTGTATGTATGTATGTATGTATGACGTTGATTACACTGTGGGCTGAAAAGCCGGGGGCCCAGGGCCGAAGCACAGCGCGAGGGGCGGGTGCATACGGCTGGTTAGTCTCATGCACTCCGCCCCCGGGTCAGGCCGCACGGGAAACGACGGCCGGCACGCAACAGCGCTTGTTTGGCGCTCCAACTAGACGGGATCTATGCCCGTTGGTCTCCTAACATAAACGAAGTCGCAACTGGGGGGCTCTTCCTGCCGACCGAACGAACCGAGCATCTCAGAGAGCTCGCAACCAGGACCTGGGCGACCGGGAGCCCGACGAGTCATCCCGGGCTGGGGAGGTCACCAAGCTCAAAAATCCTCATGCAAAAAAAGAGCGCAAAGAGCTCACACCACAAGACGCCAAACAGCCTCCTGAGACTACTACCCTCCTCCGCCTCTCCCTCCCTGGGCTAGTCCAGGGGAGATAGCCCCCGTCGGGGGGGTAACACCGCACAAGTCCGCGCCCTTCCACAGCACTGGTCTAACTTGAAAAGTACTCAAA